CCTACATGAAGGAATCACTGCTTCCATATGTAGTAACTTGGGAGTTACTCAGTCCTTTTGAGGTAAACTAGCTCAGGAAATAAATACAAGAACTACCAGAATTCGTACTTATAAGACAGAGTAACAAAATTGAGTTTACCTGATTTGAAATTGTGTTTTGCAGCTTGCTGTTTGATTTGGATGAAAAAGTGGATGCTGCTGAGAAATAGGCTTTTAAAGTAAGATGAACGTGACCTGAAATGTGGATGGCATGGACATTTTTGGTTGACAAAGTCAAAGTTAAAATAGATTTTAAAAATAATTATATTAGAAATGATTTGAATAATATGAAATCCAGCTTGTGCCTGAAAATGCCTTTATGGCTCTCAACCAAAGAAACATTTTAAAGATGAGAAATACTAGGCTAATTTATCATGAGATACTAGAATTCTGTCAAGGGCAATACAAAATAAAATCAAGAGAAGACTGATGGCAGAGAGGCAAAGTTGCTAACACTCTATATCAGTGATGGCGAACCTTTTAGAGACTGAGTGCCCAAACTGCAACCCAAAACCCACTTATGCATCGTCAGGTGCCAGGTGGGTGTGGCCCATTGGGTGGGTGTGGCCCATTGGGTGGGCATGGCTGCGGTGGTAACGGCAGACTGGGTGGGACTAAAAAGTTCAACCAATCAATTCCAACTTTGCAAGATCTTTTTTTTTCCTGCGAGAAGTTGAAATTGATTGATTGATTGAACCTCTTTTTTTTGTGTACATGGTGGCGGAGGCCCAAAGCGAAAAGGTTTTATAAAACCCAACTGAAGGCCTAGGACTGGGGCGATGGCATGCGTGCCCACAGAGAGGGCTCTGAGTGCCGCCTCTGGCACTCGTGCCATAGGTTCGCCACCACTGCTCTATATGTTGTGCTCATATCACTTTAGTAATATACTAACTATTATTTGGCCTGTAGTGTTCCAATAGTTTCAAGAAGCAGCCATGTCTTCACCATTCCAAGAAAAACACATAAAGTTATTACCAATACAATATAAAAAAATAAATTACAACAGAAGGATTTTTAACCATTTACCTTAGAAAATCTGATAGCACAAAGAAACTCTTAAGCACATATTTAAGCACGGCAAGATTCAAGCTCTCCTCTCCAGTAGAACTGTATATAAAAAATAAAACATCTATTGCAGTTTACTAGGCGTGGTAAGCAGCGATGTTGACACCGTGCTTTCATCTTTGCAAAAGGCATTCAAGGTTGCCACCGAAAAAGATCAGGCTTGAACTAAAGTTTAGCAGCAAATATAAATTGCGCAAATAACGACTCAAATGCCAATAAATATAAAACTTCTTACCTATTTAACTAAGATGTTTCTATTGATGGGCAATGTTTTTCCCCTCTTCAGTCAGAGCTGCAGGTGGTAAGCAAGCTATCTCGGTCATTCACAGAAGTAGAGTTCTGCATTCCCACTCTAATCCAAATGACAGCCTAATGCTGTTATTTTTAAAAAGGGCCATGACAAGTTGCATCTCTCCCAAGATGTCATTGACAATTCAGTAATCTTGAATTTCCAAAGTAGCACTCAGTGTAAATATGTCAAATATAAAAGCAGCAAACAATGCTACTGTTGAAAGCTAAATAAAAAAATGATGGTTTCTAGTACTGGGGAACACAAAAACTTCAGTTAGCAGTGGTAGGAGGTTTAGATGAGGTTAATTAGTAGCGTCATCCATAATACTCTCCTTTTTTCCTTAAATATATTTTGTCACATGGATTGCAGTCATGGGGGGGGGGGATTATAAAGTGGTAAGATTCCTGCTTCAAATGAACAGAAAAGTGCCTAACAAACATTTCTAAACAGTGATTTCTCTAGCCACAATCTTTGAAATGGAATTATTCGTATGTTCAGAGATCCAGTCATATCACTGCCAGATAAAATCACAGACTCCAAGTACTTAAGTGATACAGATTTAAAGAAATCTGGGTATATAAACTTGAGGGAATTTTGCAAGGACACCATCTGTTGTTAGTGCAGAACAAGTAGATTCATCCATGAACATCACCCACTTGACACATAACTAATACATCTCCTTTAATTCTCATCACCTCCTTCTCCTTTCAAAAGCTTAAGTTCCAAACAGCAGTTTATTTCCATTAAGCCTTCTAGTACAGATAGCCCTTGACTTATGATCACAATTGGGACCAGAATTTCTGGTTGCCAAGAACCCAAATTTTGATCACATGACCATATGGATGCTGTGACAGTTGTTAAGTGCAAGGACTGGTTGTCAGTCACGTTTTTCAATGCTACCGTAATTTCAAACGGTGGCTAAACGAATGGCTAGAAGTCAAGGATCACCTGTATATAGAGCAAGGCATTAAATACATAAAAAGGGGAGAGTTAAGTGCCCTTAATGTGAAACACAAGCTAGAATCCATTATACCAGTGGTGGCGAACCTATGGCACGCGTGCCAGAGGTGGCACTCAGAGCCCTCTCTGTGGGCATGCACGCCATGCCCCGGAGATGGCAACTGTCCCTCTTCAACCAGCCACCCGCTAACTTGCCGAGGTCCCACATGGCTGGATGCATCCCAACACCCATGCGCTCGTTGACCTCTGTGTCCAAGCCGATGGTGTCAGGCAGCAGCCGCCCCGGCCTCACCTTGCCGTGACAATGGCACCCCTGCCCTGCCTCGCCTTACCCCGCAGGACGAGCCTTCTGCCCACCGCCCCACCTGCCAGAGACCCCCTGGATCTCCCCCAACCCTGCCCAGCCCCCACAGGCGTCCCTCCCCACGAGCAACATTGAGGTGATCACGCCCACCTTGGCCACACCCACCCAATCTGCCATGACCACCACGGCCACGCCCATCCAGTGGGCCACGCCCACCTGGCACCCAGCAATAAATAAGTGGGTTTGGGGTTGCAGTGTGGGCACTTGGTCTCTAAAAGGTTCGCCATCACTGCATTGTGCTATATTATAAATACATTATAATGCACTATAAATATCACACACAGAACAGCACACACTCTGCGAGAGAGAATTCCCCTGAAGATGGGCTCCAGCACGAGTCCAAAAGCTCGGAAGACAAATCCTCTGGTTCCGGTGACCGACCCGGATTGGATCTTGCAGAATCCATTTATTTATACTGAACTTTTCTAAAGATCTAGTAGTTTTTGTTGTACCAAATACTTGGAACATAATTACAGCGTCAATTCTCCTTCTGCAATTTTGTTTTGAAAAGATAGATCACTACAATTAGTTCCAAAGTCAACAACATGGCAGTACGAAACTTCATTAAAAATGTATCAGCTGCAATTAAAGTGCCTGCTCTGTCAGTGGCTGGACCTTCGATGTGAAACATTCTAATTTCCCATCACAAATAGAATGTCTATAATTCTATAATTAGCTGCAGAATCTTACTGAGTTCTTAAAACTGGATTAAGCAGTTGCAACACAAAAATGTTGAAACTCTACAGAATAAACCCCAAAATTTATTATGTTCGGCATCTCTTATTTTCTCCAATAAGAACATTATGAAAGGACTGACTTAAAATAGTGAAAGATAACCTTTTATATCCATGGTGCTTTACTACTTATAATAGCATACTCATCATTTACCAAGGTAGAGAAGGAAATTGGAGTCGTCCATTATTCTCAAGAGAAATGTTTTTACACATATAGCAGAACTAAAGCAAAAAATGATTTTTGAAGTCTTATATTTTTACGCATATTGCAGAAAACCCATCTACCAGCTAAGTATGAAGTACTAATCCATGAAGGCTTTTCCTAGCATCCACATTAATACCACAGAACAGTTTTCTTTCATGCTGATAAGACTCAATAAATGGTAACATGTACGTGGGAGGATCATTTTCTCAAGTCTTCAAAAAATTTAGTCTGTGACCAAGTAGTTTAATTTTTTTCTTTAGATTTCTTATTTTTACAATATGCAGTCATGCAGGAGGCTTGAAATTCAGAGCAGGTGCCATTGTTAATCAAGTGGCATGATATTTATTCATTTAGCATATAGCAATGTTACATTAACCAGGAGACTCCAAGGCTATTACAAAGTAGTTGTTTGGCTGCCAATTGCCAGTCCATTCTGTTCATGGTCACGAACTATCCAGAGTGCACCACAGGGGATAGACTAGCTCCACTCATAGGACTTGACAGCATTCTGCAGCGTCATCTGGGGCTTTTCTAGCACCAATGACACTTTGCATTTGGGCATCACATTCAGGCAGGCCCAGTACCAGTTGAATTCATACTGCCACTTGAAGTAGCGTTTGTTCCCACCAAAGTGATACCTATTTATCTACAGTACTTGCATGTATCATGCTTTCGAACTGTTATGTTGGCAGAAGCTGAGGCAAGTAATGGGCGCTCGCTCTGTCAGGTGGAGCTAGGACTTGAACCACCAGACTACAGACATTCTCCAGCATCATTAAGCCACTGAGCAACCACACCTCTCTAGTGCCATGATTAAAAGAGAGAACTCAACTGTCACTTGCTCAATATAATCACTTCAGCTAGACAGCAATATTGCGAAAGAATATAAAACATTATGATTTCAAACTTCTTCAAATGTGAAACATCTCATTTTAAGTTTAAAATAGCAACTTCAAATTTGAAATGAGCCGTTTCAACATTACAGGAACCATTTTTGATGGTGTTCTGGTTATTCCAAAAGGGTTCCAAACTAAAAGCCACCATTTTGGTCTCAATTTGTGTGAAGCCTGAAATATTTCCAGTAGTGTATGATAGAAACAATAGCAGAATACTTCTTGTGAAGTAAAAGGTTATTTTGAATTTGAAATATTTTGCACCATTATGTAGTACCGTCTCTAATCCAGCGTGGCATAGTTTCATTCTTCAGTATTATAGCATTTTGTGCAACCGAATACAGAAAATAAAACAGTAACTTACCTTATTTGCAAGGCACATTTACTACCAAAAATTCAACCCCCCACTCACCCCAATATCTGAAGAACTTTCAAACAATCTGAAAGATTAAAAGTGTTTCAGCAGGGTTTATATACACATTTTAAATACATGTTTGTGTACAAATCTGTACAATTCAAAGCTCTTTTATACCTGAAATGTCAGTTTTGTTAAATCAAATCATGCAATTCAAAATATACCATATTTCAATATATTACTGTATTTGTAAGTCATTACTGTTAATGTAACACAGAATTACATCGTAAATTCTGTGCTAATAAAGAACAGAATCACACAAACACTCAACAGTTAACACTTCTAGAAATAGAAGCCTGACAATATTATCTAGTATACTATTAAATCAACACTTTGCTGAGTGTAAAATATAAAGTGAACAGTGAGGTAATTCGGTTACCTTGCTTCTGTTATTACAATCTAACACTGTCATATGGAGATTTTCTCCACATGCACATTCTATGCAGCCGAAGGAATAAGTTAGTCATTCCATCTTGTTTTGTTGCACTTGTAATATTTATCAGTTTAGCTACAACATACTTTCAGCACTTAAAGTGATTAAACTACAAATTCATGGTTTGCAGAACCTCTGTGCTTCAGCAGCAAAGAATAGAGCCAAAAGGAAACTAAGGGCAGCATAGAGCAAAAGGAACTGCAAAGTAACTATTGTCCGGAACAATCTGTGAATGTGGTCACCATGTTTCCTCGGCGCTGTGTCACAGTTCTGCAGTGCTTACTAGAGCCATGGAATTTGTTTCCAGTCTGCATTGTTTGCCGCTGTGTGTTATCAAACCCATTAAATGAAAACATTTTTTCCATATCTTCAAACATGTCATCAAACAGTCCCCCTCCAAAATTAAATTCTGGAAAAGCATGTCTTTGTCTCCTCTCAGCCTCCTGTTGACTATGAAAATGATTTTCAAAGTCTTTCTTTGCATTAGACCTTTCACCAAAGAAATCAAAGTCTTTAAGGAAGCGATCAAAATCAAAGTTAAATGAGTGCTGAAAGGGGTTTCCATTCATTCGTCGTCCATCTGCATTTCCAAACTGATCGTATTCTCTACGTTTATTTTCATCAGACAAAACTTCATATGCTGTAAAAAAATAAAACAAGTTATTTTAAAATCATGTAAAGACATACATGACAGGTCTTTGCATACATAAGGGTGCCTTGATCAATTCAACTTTAAAAATTCTCAGGTAAAAGAGAGAGACATAAGAATTTTAAAGAATAGATCAACCTTTCTCAACACGGATTATGTGACAAATCGTGATTGAAAAAAAATATTTAATTTTCTTTGCTGCAGAATGCTAGCCCTTGCACTGATATGAATTCTTATGTGCTGCAACTTAGCTGCCAGCCTTCTGTGAACTATAGATATAATCTTCTTATGCAGGGGTTTTCTGAGACCTGAGGCTTTATTTCCAGGGTTCCTCCAGAGTAAAAAAGAATGAGAACGGGTGGACTGGATAGTTGCTATACTGTATGCTTATCAATATTAGAATGATCAAAGAGCCAGAATCAGATCAATTGGTCCATCTTTTCTGTAATTTCTATTGGCTAGCAGGGGAGTTCTCCATATTGCAGAAAATACTTTTTCCACACTACTTGCAGAATCAGAGAGTGACCCACTATCAATTGCTATGTCAGTTCCTATTTTTTACAATACAGACAGGTATCTCTTTTTTGTGGTCAAAGCAGTGGTTTGGATTTTTCCCCCCCATCAGCCTTCAAAAGTCATAGGAGACGCTGCAGTAATATAATTAGATAAGCTGGACCCCACAAAGACATATCATTTTATTCAAAGTTGTGAAAAATCATGTTGCAGACAAATTTTCTACATCCATATTTTTCTATTAAATAAAATGGAGTGGCTAAACTCTTCTTGTAACCTTAGTGGTTAAAATATTAGATTAGGAGTGAGGACAGCTAGGTTCAAATACAACTTTAGCTTACACAGTCATATTTGCCCAAACCAATCTACTTAACAGGACTGTTGCTATGTGGGAAAAATAAGCCATGTACTGCATTTGTGTCTAAGCAAACAATAAATAAAATAGTACTGGTACTAGTCTTGAGTTTTCAAAATGTTCAAAGCTTCTCTAAATTTTTATGTTTAACTCTCCCAGCTACCATTCTCATTTTATACACATATTTTTATTACAATGGTTTTTTTTATCTATGGCTATAACAATTTGTGAAAATAGTTCTAAAAAGAATATCCACAATAAAAACATATGCAAAGTATATTCCAAAGATAATTAGAGTGATAATGTTGGCATAAAGTACCTTTATTCCTAAAAGAGGAAATTAAGATTTTTGTTCATCTATTACTATCTTTGCATAGCAAAAGGATGCAGATCCTGCATAAGTAGCAACACTATCTAAATCAGGGAACTTCCTCAAATAAAATAGAATAAATATATCTAATCCTATTCTTCTACTCAATAGAAGACAATGTTACAATTAATTAATTTTTAGCAGAACTCAACTTACCTTCTGCAATTTCCCGGAATTTTGCTTCTGCTCCAGGACTTTTATTTTTGTCTGGATGATATTTCATTGCTAATTTATGAAATGCTTTTTTAATCTGGCGTTCAGATGCATTTTTGGGAACTCCTAGAATGTCATAATAACTCTCCGCAGCCAGTATTAATTCTGTTATCATTAAAACGCAAAGTGCAAATATGAAAATTGATTGTGTAGTAGCCATGGTAGGACTCCTAAGGGGAAAAAAATTAAAAATGATTTTTCTGTTTTCAAGTTAACTCCTTATCCAGCTATTTCTCTAACGTGTTGGAAGGAACTCATTCCTGATTCCTTATTTTTTACTTTTCTGCTAATATCTCAGACATTACAGAGTTCAAAGGACTGACATATCCATTTTCACAAATACGGGAAGGCTTTTTCATCATGATACTTTACTTCTCATAAGCTCAAATTAAAAAAAATCAGTCCTTTTCAAATGATTTTTAAAAATTGTAGTTTAATAATTAAAAATAATTATTTCCCAAAATTGCTATTAAAATAAATAAGTCAACTTTCACTTTGACAGGATTATGTTATTTATAGCCTAAACACATTGGAATAAATTTTAGCTCTCTTAATGTCTATAATAGTTTCTCAATAACTAAAGATTTCACATTTCCTATAATTTTTCCATTCCTACTGAAAATAATTATCTTCATGAAAGTATTTTCACATAAGAAGCAGAATCAAGGAAATATCATATGACTTCAGCATATTAACTTAGGACCGGTAACACTACCTTGATTATACATACAAAATCAGAGACAGAAAGAGCTGACAAAAGTCATTGCTAAACTTCTGGCTTTGTTGTAAGAAAAAATGCTGCTACTCCAATAGAAAACTGAGATAACGGCTTATACAATTATCTTTACCTCTCTATGATACTCCAGGAACATCTTTTTCCTTATATTCAATAACAGAATTAAACTTGTAAAAGTTTAAAAAGAGAATTCTAGAATTTTGCTTGTTTGTCATTTATTTCTAATCTACAAACTAGAGGTTCTCAAATACTGCTATATTGAGTTTAATTTTAAGAAAAAATACATTTTTCTCTCAGTATTGTTATTTTTTATTTTGCTTTCTCATCTAAATAGAGGAAATATCTTTTCCTTATCAAAGAAACATATTTTTGAAATGCCATAAACTAATCTGAGTTTATGGAATAGAGCAGAGTAATGATATAAATCACTGAGATAAAAACAGATGCTGTTTTTAACTGCTTTTTTGTTCTTTTGAATTGTCAACATGCAGATAATGCTTTGAGGTAAAAACTTGTTAATTACAACTTTAATCTGTACACAGGCACATATCTTCATTAATACCTTGCTTATTTATAATGCATGCAAATTACTACATATGCCTACACATGCCTGGGTTTTTTGTTGTTGTTGCCAGTAAGGAGACCTCAGTTGGCAAGACTGAAACAAACAAGTTGTCTCTTTATCAACCTTTCCCTCCTCCTTTCTACCAGGGCTCTCTCGAGAGGAAATATTGAATGCACAAACTAGAAAAGAACTCTAGTTATAATGTTCTACCATTTAATATGAATAGATGATGCCAACCTAATAGTAGACTGAACATCTTATTCATATAAAACATGAATTAACACTGATTTCTCAGAGTATCCGTGTGATTACATTAAACTGAATAAAAATGAAAGGCAGGCAACCTGTTTCAGTTAAATATAACATAAAATCTGCTTGGAATTTAGAAATATATATTTTGGAGAAGGCAAATAATTATGGTCATCATGTTCTTAAGAATGAGTGATAACAGTTCAGTTGTAGGTTGTCTTAATATTCCAATCAGGTTCAATCAAATGTTGAGGTTCCAATGGTTCTGAGTAATGATTATCATTAAACAAAAGATAGGGTTGGGCAATGAGAGATTATAACTTTTTTTTTGGTCATGTATACCCTACAGCAACTCAACCACACTGACATTATGTCTAAAGAAGGGATGCTATTTTCTGCTCTTTGAAATTTAAAAAAAAATGTGTGTCTTGAACTAACCAGACTTAAAGCACCCACTGCAGCCCTTTAAAAAACATGCAAACATACAAAGAAAACCCCCAAACTGTTATTTTTGATGATACAACTTTGAAGACATCCAGAAGCTGCATACTGTTTGTGTTCATCCACTCCTGAATTCCATGGTTGGAGCCTATCACAGCTCTGCCATAGTTCTAAGCAATTTTTAATCCTCTCAGACATTAAGTACTTCAACTAATATGAGGCTTGGTAAAGTATTCATCATTGTTCTATTTCCACTTAGTTGGACAGTTCCAGACATGTAGTATTTGACTCTTGCTACTTAAATTCAACATCCCTCACAAATTTTGTTTTTTTTTTCTCCCAGGGGTGTTAAGTCAAATTTGCTTTTATTCCATCAGATTTTAGTAAGTTTATTTAAGTCTTGCTTCTAACAAATTTTGTTTTATCCACATTTTAATACTGTATTAAGCATTTTGAGATTTTGCAATTATAATTGCTCTTAATGGTTTTCAAAAAAAGATGCTATAATTATATTATCAGATACAACAGTGTCATGTTGGCAGCAAATCAGTGAACAATTTTCAATAAAGTTAAGAGATGTTATAAAATTGTTTTCAGATACAAGGTCATGTTGGAAGCAAATCACAATGAAGAGAGCATTTTCAAAACAAGAATATTAAAGTTCTGATTTTAAAACTTTAACATTTACATAGTAAATCCCTGCATGTTTCTTATTTCAAAAGATCAAGCATTATAATTTTATAAACTTTATGGAGGAGCTTCTGTACTACTTCTATATAGCATCCTTCTATCAAAGGATTCATGGTGGCATATTTATTCATTTTTATTTGCAATTGAAGATAATGTGTCATTATTTGTTAGATATGAGGCTCTTAAAATGTTTTAAATGCAAGCTAAAGCTTTGTTACCAGGTCAAGAAAAAAGGATCACAAGGAAAGAGAAAAAACAAGCATATTCAAGAACTCAATTTCAAGTTAACCAATATAGAATAGTATATGTACACGTATGCAAATTGATATCTGCAGATAGAAGCCAGGGGAGGGTTGAATGATGCAAGCAGTGACATAAGCCCTACCTCTTTTTCACATCACAACACTGAATACATGCCCCAAAGGGGCAGGGCTTACAGTATAATGCTGTTGCACATCACACTGTAGCAATCTAGGCAAAATACACAGCATCAGTTCACTTCCACTAATGGAAGAGTAAAGTGATTCATCTGAAAACAGTTTAATCAGAGAAAGCATAATGGAGCTAGATAACTATGAGGATTGATAGAACAAGCAAGAATCAGAACATGGAGTACAATATTTTAAATATTATGAAAAATTCACAAGCATAAACTGAATCACTATTTTGACTGTCTTATCTATATAAACTCAAAACTATCAAGATCTCAAAAATTTTCACTGAACCAAATAAAGATCATACACCATCATGAAAAATGTGTTTCATACCCTACTTCAAACTTAAACAGTATTCTATAAAACAGAACAGAATAGAATAGAAGAAACAGAATATTAGAGCAAGTGAAGTTGCAGGAAAGCTTTCTCAGTCTTATTATAAATTATAACAGAAGCCCACTGGACAGTTTGGGGTAAGCATATCTATGAACTTCCAGAAATCCATATATAATATGGAGCTGGCAGACAAATGAGTATATAGGTGTTATCCCTCCAGTCTTCCTAAGTCATAAAAGCTCTTAAGAGCAGAAACTTCCAAATGACAATATATACCTCACCACCTAAAAGATTAAAATACATGCAGCATGTTATATAAAAGCTGAAGACATTCCAGATTCCAAATCCCTGATCTCATTTTTTTTTACCACTGGCTCAATCTCTTCAATGAGGTTTAAACAGATTGCTAATTCATTACATTTATTTGAGGTGATGCATGACATTACCTGTGAGCTTTTAAAGTAATATTTTAAAATAAAGCATTTCCCCCTTACCTTTAACTAGCTGTTAACCAGTCAACTATCATTTGTCCCCGTAGACGTAATATGTGGGAAAGCTTGGCTTGAGCAAAGACCAAAACGCTATTTCTTCCTCCCCCCAAAAAAGAAAAGAAACCGAAACCAGCATGAAACACAAGACATTTTCTGCCAGAGAGAAAGCTAGCTTCGATAGCCTCGCTTGGAGTTTCAGCCTAGATCTCTTGGTAACACCATTTTTCCTTTAACCTTCGTGCCCCGCCCCAATTTAATATTGGGGTTTGGGGACTGATGGCTGGAGTGTAGGACTAGTAACATAGGCAGCGGGCTCTGAGCATATACAGAGTTCCTTTTCCTCACCCACCCCCCCAAGCACTAAAGGCGTCTCCCCTCCTCACGTTATTTATAAGAGAGAAAAGCGTGTGAAGACAAAAGGACACATCAAGAAGAGAGACTGTGACGTGAAGGCTGCTGAGAATCAAGATCACGTGAAGTGTTAATACCACTTTACAATGCCTTGGTAAGGCCACACTTGGAATACTGCATCCAGTTTTGGTCACCACGATGTAAAAAAGACGTTGAGACTCTAGAAAGAGTACAGAGAAGAGCAACAAAGATGATTAGGGGACTGGAGGCTAAAGCATATAAGGAAAGGCTGCTGGAATTGGGTATGTCTAGTTTAACGAAGAGAAGGACGAGGGGGGACATGATAGCAGTGTTCCACTATCTCAGGGGCTGCCACAAAGAAGAGGGAGTCAAGCTATTCTCCAAGGCGCCTGAAGGCAGGGCAAGGAGCAATGGGTGGAAACTAACCAAAGAGAGAAGCAACCTAGAACTAAGGAGAAACTTACTGACAGTTAGAACAATTAACCAATGGAACAACTGGTCTCCAGAAGCGGTGAATGCTCCAACACTGGAAGTTTGTAAGAAGAGACTGGACAGCCATTTGTCCGAAATGGTATAGGGTTTCCTGCCTGAGCAGGGGGTTGGACTAGATGACCTCCAAGGTCCCTTCCAACTTTACTATTATTATTATTATTATTAAGAGCAAACTCGGGTTCAAATCCCCATTTAGCAAACCGCTGTTTGGCTTGCTGTGCGGGGGGGGGGCGAAAGATGAAGGCGCCAAAACCCCACCGTGTCCCCGACCCGGACAGAAAACCCCAGCAGGCTGCCCTCCCCCGACTGCCCCGTCATCCCTTCAACTCACCGGCCGTTTCCGTCCCGCAGTCCTGAGCCGATCCGTCTTCTCCGCTTCGCGCTCGGCTGCCTTATAACCTCGGCGCGCCAAGCCAGAACGGCGGTCCTACACGAAGCGCTTCCCGATTGGCCGCCGTGGTGCACGTGGCCTGCCCGCTTTGGTGCACGTGGAAGGCTGTTGTGGCCTCGCGCAAGTGACGGGTTGAACGCCGCCAAACGCTCGCCCTTTCCGGCTGGAAAAAGAAAGGGGGGAAAACATGGAAGGAGGAGGAAGAGGAGAAGGAGGGCCGTAAAATCCCGGAAGCGGAAGTGAACGAGAGCGGCTCTACGGGCGGATGAGCAATCACAGGAGGCACCGTCAGTGGGGACCGTCTGGGACGGGGATTGCTGGCCGCCGCGGAGTCTTTGCCATGCCTCGGTACTGTGCAGCCACTTGTTGCAGGAACCGAGCGGGACAGAGCGCCCGAGACCAGAGAAAGCTCAGCTTTTACCCGTGAGTGCCGCGGCCAGGGTGGCTGGAGGGAATCTCTCACATCCCCGACATAAATACTCTCGTGTTGGCGTGGAAATAGGTTCCACCAATAAGGTGGAGGGACATTTTTCATGGTGTTCCCTTGGAAGGAAAGCTTACTAATTTAAGGAATGTGCGTGGCATCGTAGCATGTGTTGGAAGGGGACACTCAGCAGGGCAATGTGGGCTACTTCATAAAAATTTACCATAAGCAGATTCCTTTAATCATATCAAATAGTTACACTCAACATCTACTCAGAACGCCAGTAAGGCTATATATATATATATTTTAAAAAATCCTATCCCAATCTGATGGCTTCCAACTGCCTTATAAATTCTTTAACTCCCAGGCATACACATTCAGAATATATACTGAGTTAGCAAACATCTGTTCTTTGGGATATGGAGCAACAATATTCAATTAAGGCATCAGTTCATTGAAGGAGGGCAGAACATCTCTAATTCATCTTGTTTCTGATGCAAAATCCTTACAGATTTCCACCTCTGATATTTAGTTTGGGAGCTTAATTTCTGCCATCAAATTGGTATCCACTGATTAGTGACCATGTAAATTTTCTCCAGGAGAATCTGTCCCCAACCTGCCCTTCAGGTTTTCCAATAGTTTCTCCATTAGCTCTGAGTCCCTCCACCTTGCTGCTGGTCGTCTTCCTCTTCTTTTTCTTTCCATCTTTTCCAAAGTTGGAGCCTTCTCCAAAGAGCTCCATATTCATGTAATGTATCCAAATTCATCTGTGCCTTGCATGTGAATTCTGGGATCATCAATTTGTTTGTTTTCTTAGCTATCCATGATAGTCTCAGCAGTCTTATATCTAGCACCAATATCAAAAGATGTCATTACTCTTTCTAGCTTCTTCAATGACTAACCTTCTTTTCACAGGGAGAACCATTCCCTTTACATTTATTTGTAGGTATAGATATGGCGTATGAATATATTTTCCAAGGCCGTCATTGCTGCTCTACAAAATGCTAGTGTCCAATTCCAGGCCATTTCAGTGCAACAGTGTGTTAGATATCAGTGTATACAGGTAGTCCTTGACTTACAGCCATAATTGAGCCCAACATTTCTGTTGCTAACTGAAACATTTGTTGTGAATTTTGCCTCATTTTACGATCTTTGTTGCCACAGTGATTAAGTGAATCACTGTGGTTAAGTTAGTATCACAATTGTTAAGTGAATTTGTCTTCCCCCATTGACTTTGCTTGTCAGAAGATCGCAAAAGGTGATCATGTGACCCTGAGACACCGCAACCGTCATAAATATAAGTCAGTTGCCAATCGTCTAAATTTTGATCATGTGACTATGGGGATGCTGCAACAGTCATAAGTGAAAAATGGTCATAAGTCACTTTTTCAGTGCTGTTGTAACTTTGAACGGTCACTAAATGAACTGTTGTAAGTCGAGGACTACTTGTAATTGATTCACTTCATCCTTCACTGTGCTGAGATTTCCCATGTTGATGCTTATTATATTCTTATATAACATGTTTCCATTATGATTTTGTTGCTGCAGCTTCATATTTTGTTTTCCTGCATGGCAGCATCCTCATATTATTTGTTTAACCAACTTTTCATTCTACTTCTTTGTCTCTTCCCTTTCTTTCACAAAATCTTTCAGTTTTCATAAAAAAAACATTTTTCAGTTGGACTAGTATTACTTAGACTTCCTCCCCTGTTTATTTATCCCTGCTATGCATCATTTGTTTGGTTTATTGCATCAGATAATTGTAAATGATGTAGTTGTGCAGCTCTCTTTTATTTGTTTCCCCATTGTCCAAGACCTATTTTGATAGATTTTATTACTGTTTGCCAGTGTCACAGATTGAGGATGAACAAAGAGGATCTCAGCCAAGCTGTGCTTGTGAAGAATTCCTACAAGCTTTCTAAAGGCATTGGAAGTGCCTGATAGCTACAGTCAGAGCTACAGTAACAGCTACAGTCAAAGAACCATAAGACGCATTATGGAATTTGACATATTTAATTGCCCTGTTCATGCTCTAGTTCAGGGCTTTTCAACCAGTGGTACGTGTATCACCAGTGGTACTTTAGCACCTGGCAGGTGGTACGTGCCCCCTAGCCAAGTGTAGCAGGGGAGGGAACAAGCTAAAGCGGCGCCACACAGGCCTGGAGGAGATCAGCTGGAGCTGCAGGGCTCGGCAGAAGCCCCAGGATCTGCATGCGTAGCTGCATGCTGGTTGGAGCTTCCGGTGCACCCGGAAGAGAAGAGGAGGAGGAAGGCAGAGAGAGGAGAAGTTATAAAAGGAGCAGGTTTTGGCGGGAGAGGGAGAGGGAAAAAAACACAAAGAAAGAGAAGAGGCTTTTGTTAGCGAAGCAGTGAAGAGAGAGCGAGTGAGAGGCTTTTATGAGCAAAGTGAGTGAATGAGAGAGCGAGATAAAAGCTTTTGCAAGCAAAGTGAGTGAATGAGAGAGCAAGAGAGAAGCTTTTGCGAGCAAAGTGTGAGTGAATGAGAGAGTGAATGAGAGCAAGAGAGAAGCTTTTGTGAGCAAAGGGTGGGGGGGTTGCGAGCAAAGGGTGACAGAAAAAGGGAAAAGTGGGGGGGGGTGAAGGGAAAAAGAAAAGAAAAGGCATTGACTTCTGACTTCCACTGTTGCAGTAGGAAGGAAGCATTAACACTGAACCTCAACTTTTTACTTTTCCATAATAGTATAAACTAGCCATTTCTATAACAACAAATGAGTCTAACCAGTAAAGCCCAAAATCCCCTCCCTTTTTTTTTAGTCATCAAGTTTTTGACACCTTGCTATGCACTGGTGGTACTCGAATATTGTCATGTCCTAAAAGTGGTACAATCTGTGAAAAGGTTGAAAAGCCCTGCTCTAGTTGTCTGCAAATGTTATCCTTTCTAGTGAAAAGCAAAAATGTTTTGAACTCTTTAAAAAACTAATGGTTTAAAATAGTATAATATATCCTTCTGTGTTCCAGTACATCCAGTATCAGTGTTAGGCTACATAGTAGGAAAACAGAGCTGTTATCTTACTTGAATTAGGAATGAATTAGGACAGGGGTGGCGAACCTATGGCATGCGTGCCAGAGGCGGCACTCAGAGCCCTCTCTGTGGGCACGCACACTATGCCCTGGAGATGGTAACCGTCTCTCTTCAACCAGCTGCCTGCTAACTCGCCGAGGTCCCACGTGGCCGGATGCATCCCAGCATGGCTGGTTTCCCTTTCTCCTGTCCCATCCCTCCTGGCCACGCATGCTCTCCTTTTCCCGGGAACGACTCACTGCATCACCTCCTCAGCTGTCGGCCGGCCGTCCAGCTCAGAGGCGGCTTCTCTGAACTGCTGGCAGCGGGCTGCAGAGCCCCAGAGAGTGCCGGTTGAGGGGCCGGCAGGCTGTGGCTGCTGACGGACACTGTCGGCCCCCATGCGCTCGCTGGCCTCTGTGTGTAGGAGCTGATGGTGTCAGGCAGCAGCCACCCTGACCCCTGACTCATCTTGGCCTGAGACAATGGCAACCCCGCCCTGCCTTGCCTTGCCTCACCCAATAGGACAAGCCTCCTGCCCACTGCCCCACCTGTCAGAGACTCCCTGGATCTCCCCCAACCCTGCCTGGCCCCCACAGGCATCCCTACCCACGAGCAATATCAAGGTGACCACACTCACCCAGTCTGCCATGACCACAGCCACGCCCACCCAGTGAGCCACGTCCACCTGGCACCCAGTGATAAATAAGTGGGTTTTGGGTTGCAGTTTGGGCACTCGGTCTCTAAAAGGTTCGCCATCACTGAATTAGGATGTGTTGAAGTAAGATGTTTTCAGATGCAGCTCACTGTTTGATGTTGCAGAATTTTCACATAAATGATTGGAAGGCTCATAAGTTTATTCATTGTGCGTAGAACAGAGAAAGAATCTGTTCTGTTTGGTAGAGCAAAGACAAGCTGAGAAAACATTCATCTAAGTATTCTTATTTGGAACAGCTTACAAGAACTATATTATCACAACACTAGAAATACTAAAAGGCCTGTTACTTGAACCAGAATCATCCATTGTTTTTGTGTGTGTGTGTGTGTGTGTGTGTGTTGGGGAGATACAAAAGCAACTTTGCAACCTCACAGAGTCCACTTATTTCATACATGTGTAGCGCTACCTCTTTAGAGGCCGCCAATGCCCAGGCCCTCCCAGCCACAACCCCCCTTGTCCAGCCTTGCGGTAATGTTCTTTAGAGATCGGTGAGATGTCTTGCAACCGGAACTCATGCAGCATTGATGGGTGGCAAGCTCTTCTTGTTGAAGCAGGACTTTCAGGCACGAACTTAACCGGTCACAATGGTTGATGCCCCGAAGATGTATATAACAGCTCAGGGCTGCTTTAGCAGCAGGAGTAACAAGCCCCTGAGCTGTCGTTCAGAGTCCGATGAAATGGGGGGGGGGATAGACCCCGGCTCCAGATGGCAATAGTAACAATGACGGCCAGTATGTTATGGCAATGGCTCATCCCCCAGGGCAACTCCCCCCACAATGTCCCAGTACCTATGCCAGCAGCGATGGCCACAGCCCAGATGCCTCCAAAGTCCACAACAACAGTTGGCAGCAACAGTTGGCACCACCAGTCTCTCTCCTCCTGGTGCTTCTTCTCTGGAATTCCTCCTCAGGTCTCAGGATTCAAAACCACCCCCCTCCCTTTACTCTTTATTATTAAAACCCGAGGCTAGAAACCCCAGCCAGCTCCCTTTCTCCACACTCCCGCTTGCCTCCGTTTCAGATATCCTCCCACGGAGGAAGCAATAAAACTTCACTCCCTAGCCTCTATTTAAAATACCCTTGATAGAAAAATAAAATAAGCTTCCAGACCTTCTCTTCTCAACTCCAACCCCCGGCCTTTTCCTTTCCTTTCCTTTTCTATCCTTCCTCCTTCCACTTACGCCAGCCACACCCAAAGCCAACTGCAGCTGTCCCAATCTTTTCCTTCCCAGTCAAGCTCCTGCAAGCACTCTCAGGCAGTCCCCGCTACACATGTATATATGACACGGGATGCCATTCAAAAGGAGTGGAGTTTAGGGTTAGGGTTAGCGTTTATGGTACAATGTTATTTCCATTTTGAAACAATAGTGGATCCTATAGATCAGAGGTCCCCAACCTTTTGGGCATCAGGGACCAGTTACGTGGAGAGAGATTTTTCCACGGACCTGAGGGGGTGTGGTTTTGTGTGCTGCCTGTATCCCGCATATGGGAATTTGCTTGTTTGTGCAGCCCGGTTGCTAGCATGCCACGGACCGGGGGTTGGGAACCCCTGCTATAGATGCCTCTACATTGAATACTTGCTTCCAAATCTATTTTTATTTGTTCTGCTTACAATAAGACTTCAAAATAAATTCCAGTATTACATTTCTTGTACAAGAGCCAATTTGTAAAAACGTTATCTTAACTCTGTATAATATGACAGATATGTCTACTTGTGTAACATGTTTAACAAGTAGTGGAGCAAGAGAGGATATAAAGAAGTGGTTGCAAGGGCTGCCAATCTGAAAGACTCCTTCCCACCACAATAATTAAGTGCAATAAGCAATCAATTGTTAGATAATATTAAATGTATTTCTTTATATCAGCGGATAGAAGCTTGTATGTTACTGTCATAGATTATATCATTTTGATTGTACATAAATCAAATAACTGTGTAACTAATAATGACCATAGATATATGTCTTTGTTTTGTTCAGTAAACAAACGAGATATATTAATTCATAGCTGTGCTATTGAAATTAATTCCTTGTGGAAAAAATGAGCTAGCTAAGACAGGTTAAAATTAAGGAGAATATTTGCAGCTCAGGGTTGAAATGAGGAGTCTTTGGTGCTCTCTGAGCTTGCTTGTTTTCTTGCAGACATTTCATTACCCTAACTGGGTAACATCAGTGTTAGTAAGGAGTGCTGTTTGCTGTCTGTTTATATTCTGGTGTCTTGCCTGTCTGGGTGGGTGGGTGGCGGTCTTAGGGATTCTTTGGTTAGGCTGTTTACTAATGGCTCTGTGGCAGTTTCTTGATTGGGGTATTGCTTACTTGATTGTTGGTCTGAAGGTGACCTTGGAGTTAATCTATGGTGATCTGAGTGCTCATTACTAGTGGAGAGGTGCTGGAGTCTTTTTCTCTTTTGGGCTGGTTGATTGTCTCTTTTGCATAATCTATAGATGTTGTTAATGTCTATGTGTCTACTGATGGCTGATTTGTCAGAGTGCCAGGCTTCTAGAAATTCCCAGGCATTTTTGGATTTGGCCTGGTCTAGGATTGTCACATTCTCCCAATTGAAACTATGGTTAAATCGTTCTATATGTTGTGAAATTAAAGAATTTTCATCATGCCTTTTGACTGCCAGTTGGTGTTCACGGATGCATTCTGCCGGTCTTCTGACTGTTTGTCCTACATAGTGATTGTTGCAGTTCTTACGTTGTATATTGTAGATGACTCCTGTTTTTTCTTCTGGGGTTGCTGGGTCTTTGGGTTTGCTTAGGATGTTTTGAAGGGCTTTAGTTGGCATATGTGCTACACTGATTCCATGTGGTTGTAGTAGTCTATTTGCCGTTTCTGAGATATTCTTGATGTATGGCAGTGTAATTCTGTTTAGGGTTTGTGTTGGTTGTGCTGTATTGGGTTGAGTGGTCAGGGACTTTTTGATGAAGCCATAGGTATCCATTTTGTTGGAATGTGTTGTATAGATGCTCCACTTCCTTTTTCTGCTGTTCTGGGTTGCCACAGCAAGTTTGGGCCTTGTTTTATACACACACACATATAGAGAGAGAGGGGGGGGGGCTGTACAAGAGATTTCATAAAGTATGTAAATGGAAAGGAAGCAACTGTTTCCAAGGTGTCAAAATAGGCACATCTTTTGCAAGGCTTGCATAGTTGCTTTGAAAATTATTCCCAGTGGGCAATGTCTGCACATGCATCTACAGACAATATTTCTTCTGGGCTTTCTAGCAAAAAAGAAGTGATCGAGGGTCACTTTTCAGACAAATGGCTTTTCAGAAATCCCAGCTAATTAAACTAATTTCACTTTTTCCTAAAAGCAAATAAAAACCAAACATTTATTTAATTTATTTAATTTAATCTGGGGTACTCATACTTTCAAAAGCCCAGTTTAACCAGGAAATTGCCTTTTAAATTTTGCATTATTCCCTCTTGTAAAATGGCTGAAAAATATCCCAATCTTTAGTATTAAATACTTATTACTTGTCTAAGCATTCAGTGGGTTCAGTTAGTAACTTTTAAGATGAGCCAAATAATCTCTCTCTCTCTCTCTCTCTCTCTCTCTCTCTCTCTCTCTCTCTCTCTCTCTGTGTGTGTGTTTGTGTGTGTGTGTGTGTGTGTTTGTGTGTGTGTGTGTGTGTGTGTGTGAGAGAGAGAGAGAGAGAGAGAATGATTTAAAATAGCAAGATCTGAGAAAATATAAATCAGCCTTGAAATTAAATACAGATGAATCACATTTATCTCATTGAAATATTAAAAGAAGTTCTGGACCATCTGTTAAAGTCTTTTTTCATATGTGTCCAAATGGATGAGTTTATACTTACTAGTTGAAAAAGTTTTCTAGGAAACTTAAACTACAATAAGCAAAGAACTGAAAACACAACATTGACATCCCAGTCACTAAATATGTTACAAATATTGATGAGGCCCAGTGGCATCTGACTTACTCCAATTTATGAGCAACCACATAAGATGCAACTCTGTCATATAGTGAAATTAAATAAGGAATCAAATTTTCTGACTTAACTCTCTGTGTGTGTGTGTGTGTGTATGTATATATGTATGTGTGTGTGTGTGTATATATATATATATATTACTAATATCGTTAAAAATACACAGAACTCAGGAGCCTGTGGTGAGGAGGTAGACAACAATAATGCACGCACAAGAAAGGGGGAGGGTGGAGGAAAGAGAGCAAGTAACGGAACAGCAACGTTGATTGATATCAAGGATACACTTAACACGCAGCCCAATCAACTAGGACCGATGACGAGATCCCGAAGCCGGGCGCAGATACTGACTAACTTTATAAAGGACCCTCCCATTGACTGGCGTTAAGCCCTGATGATGTTGGTAGTTAACCGACAAAAGCTTGAGTTTGGTGCACCCTGTCAGCCCAAATATGGGAGAAAGGAATCTTTTTTTTTATATTCTACATAGTTGAATCTTATATCTAAATTACAAAAAGAAAGGAAAAAGAACATCCTTCATATATACCCATAAGTTTAAACTTAAAANCCTCATTTTACTGATCTCAGAAGGATGGAAGGCTGAGTCAACTTTAGCTGGTGAGAATCGAAGTGCCAAATTGCTGGCAGCTGGCAGTCAGCAGAAGTAGCCTGCAGTATTGCATTCTAACCACTGTGCTACCAGGGTGATTCTTTCCTGGTATAGATTGGGATGACACCACAAAAGAGTAGGTTATCTCTATGAGCATCTGAGTGAAAATAATCCTTGAACTACCCAGATTGTACCTAAAGAACTTGAAGCTTTATAGATTTTGATTGATTCCCCGCAGGGCTGTGGAGTCGGTAGATAAATGTTCCGACTCCGACTCCTCAGTTTTTTGTACTTCCGACTCCGACTCCAGGTACCCAAAATTTCCTTCGACTCCGACTCCACAGCCAGGGCTGTGGAGTTGGTAGATAAATGTTCCGACTCCGACTCCGACTCCTCAATTTTTTGTACCTCCGACTCCGACTCCAGGTACCCAAAATTTCCTCCGACTCCTCGACTCCGACTCCGACTCCACAGCCCTGATTCCCCGCTATGAGTATATAGCCTAGAAAAAGATATAAAGGCTTGAGAGGCCACAATATTTTTTTAGTTAGAATGGCTGTCCTATGAATTTCAGAGCAGAATGCTCTTGCATCTTGAATACATAAGTTTGTTTTCTCTAATCTTCGGTAAATTGGAATGAATCAGATTTGATACCTTTTGAGTTCTAGTTCTAGTAATAATCTCAGTGTATATAAGATTGAAATTTTAAGTGATTCTTTTGTTCGTCAAGGCATAGCTATTATAGGAATCGTTCTCAGTTGGTACTGGCAGTGAAGCAGCTGTGTGTGCTCATACAGACAATGGGGAAAGTCTTCTAACCAAGCTCATGAAGCCTTCCAGAGGACATGGCTGTTTTAAGGGCTGCTTTGTTTTGAACCTCATGCTTGCCATGTACTCTTTCCCAGGTCTTTACTGCTAAGTATGACATGCTTTTTAAGAGCCTCAATGCAAGTAGCACTTAACTGAAGCATTCTCTCTCTCTCTCTCTCTCTCTCTCTCTCTCTCTCTCTCTCTCTCTCTCTCTCTCTCTCTCTCTCTCTCTCTCTCTCTCTCTCTCTCTCTCTCTCTCTCCTCTCTCTCTCTCTCTCTCTCTCTCTCTCCTCTCTCTCTCTCTCTCTCTCTCTCTTGCATATTCTTTGAAATAGATTTCCTCTCCATGATAAAGAAAGATTAGAGAAATGGTTACGGAATATGAAACGCGACACTTGGACTCCTAGTAAGCATCAGGTCCTTTGCAGTGACCATTTTACACCAGATTCTCTCGATGTGCGATGGGGTATTCGATATTTGAAGACAACTGCAGTGCCAACTATTTTTTCATCCTCTGAAAACCAGGTAACAGTGTTAACCTCTGTGTGAAAAATAAGAAAAAGGATGAGAAAATGCAATTAGTTTGAGTTGAAAGTAAAATGAACAGTGCTGAAAACAAAAACAAAAATCAGAACATACTTGTCTCAGTGGCAGTGAGAACATGTCTTCTATTTTAATATTGTCCAAATTCTTAATTCATTTATACTTTTTCTGTTTACTATTGAGAAGAAGGGTTTATGGTATGCCAAGATGATTGTTTGAAGCCTCTGCAGTCTACTCATGCAATTAAATTGAGATTTGTACTGGTCAACCGTGGGTTAAAAAAAAACACCCTCCACTGTAAATTTATGGAACATAAACCAAAATATGCTTCATTTCCTTTTGGCAAACAAATTGTATAGTATATTGTACAAAAACCCACAGTTTTTTTTCTACTAGTTGATCTGAATAGGAAAAAAAATCAATTAAAAACACCTGGCCTGGTTTAAAATTTTGCTATTTTTATATTCAAGAGTTAATTTAAACATTGCTTCTTTAGAATATATCTAAACATTAAGACATGACTACTAAAAATAGCATATAGTTCACTGAAATGAAAGCTATTTATGTGTTAATCTTAGCACAGCAGAAGAGATGGCTAAATAAATGGGCCTTTGTGCATTGGCATCTGGAAAAAATAATTACAATTTCAAACATGACTGATATAACGTATGATGTGCTGAGTTGCTCACTTGATACTTCATTTCCTATGGTGGAGGAACAAATTATGCACATTCCGAAAAGTATCTGATTGGTCTAGGTCAGGGGTAGGCAACCTTGGCTCTTTTATGACTTGTGGACGTCAACTCCCTGGCTCAGGAATTCTGGGAGTTGAAGTCCACGAGTCATAAAAAGAGCCAAGGTTGCCTATCCCTGGTCTAGGTGCAACAGCCCAGGTCTGTGATGCTTCAAAGAAAGTTTTAGTCCAAATTTCCTTGAAGCAAAGCACCTCTTTAACATTCTTAATACTTTTTGCTATCCAGATCTATTTTGCAGGATGCTCAATGATATGAAAAACATGCAGTAGAACTGGGAGATTTTATTGTGAATAGGAAAAAAAAATCATTTTGGAAACTTTTCTCTCATTCTGTAGCCACCACTTAGAAAAGACACATGTTAACATAACTGATAGTGATTATTGCATTACTGCCTTTCTCCCATGAATATTTGTGTAGGAAAGAGCAACCATGCTGGTTGTGACCTCTCTATCGTGATAGTATGAGTTAACTGAAAAATCTGTTTCCCAAGCTAGAGCTGCAATTCCACAACCACTTACCGGGATATAAGGTCTGTTTTTTTTTAAGGAGTTGCTCAGGTTTGCTTAGAGATCAGATAGCACTGAAATATCCTCATCACCCAGAGTCTGCCTATCATAGAAAGCATATCTAGGCAAAATGTCCTGCTCTTTGAGAAACTTCTTTACTTGGTAGCCACATTCCAGGAAAGGGGTCATTATCATGAAGCAGCAATTTGATCTGCTGTATCAGGAGTGGCCCTCAATCTTTGTGTATTGTAACAGTTGTTAATGCTAAAGTGAGCTTACAAAAATGTTAAAGCTATGTGAATCCAGGCTACATTTGAGCTAATCTCTTTTGCATTTGTTTTTTTTTTTATTGTAATATGCATTAATAAAATAATTCAAGATTGGTATCCAATTTCTTTAGTAAACCAATGGCAGAGAAAAGGCTGTTTATTGGCATTATTTGCACTCTTTTTTTAAAGACCAAAATTAAAAGAGCAAATACAGGCAGTCCTCAACTTACAACTGTTCGTTTAGTGACTGTTTACGATCGTTGCAGCGTCCCCATGGTCACATGATCAAAATCCAGATGCTTGGCAGGTGACTCGTATTTATGAGAGTTGCAGTATCTTGGTGTCCTGTGATTCCCCTCTTGTGACCTGTCTCCCTTAGCAGCAGAAAGTTTGGTTGTAAGTTGAGGACTACCTGTATAGGGCTGAAACCCTGTGTTCTTTTGTTAGGGAATAAGGGCACTGATCATGGTAGGACTTGCTTTTCAATGAATAGGCCCAGCATTACACCATAAAGGACCATAAGAGAAGGAATCATTGTGTGGTATTTCATAATCAGTAACAACTGAATCAAGAGGAATGTTTTTTCTTCTTAAGGAAAAAGGAAAATCCCAGAAGAAAATGCAAGAGGAAAGAATAGACGGTATCAGAGAAATGAGCACATACATCACGACATCATCTCTTAAACCTTGTTCACCAAAGGGAACTAGCTTATCCGAAGGAGGCCTATATCGAAAAACTCCTGGAACAAATTCAGACAGCTCAGCAAGAACAGAGGGACTATCACAGAATATTGTGAAAGATGGCACTGCATATTCAGGTAACTGTGTTAAACAGAATAAGCAGCAAGCAAACCAAACAATAGCAACATCTGATATGGAAAACTCAGGAGCCACCAGTTCCAATTTTCCAGGAAATAATAGGGCCATCAAAAACATTTTTAGTGCTGCTGCTGCTACAGATTTGCAAGTTTCAGTTCATGACCTCCGGTCATGTTTTGAGCATGGCTCAGGTTCTAAAGCCACAGTTTTGCCAGACACACATCTGGAACATGGAGATTCATATCTGGAATTCAGTAAGGTCCCCGTACCCGTGAACGAACTTACATCTGATCAATTTGATCCCCGCATTGCAAATTGTTCGGTGGAAGTACGAACGGATGAAAGTTCTGTGTTGCTCCAGTCTGTGTCACAAGCTTTGGAACAGCTCAGTGGAAATAAGGAGTCTGTCATCACCATTATCGTTCCTTCAGAGGACTCAAGAATCCCCTTGCTTTTAGAGGGCTCCTTTATATCAGCAGAAGAGGTACTAACCCACCTGGAAGCAGAAAACTCTGTTGTACTTGACAGCTGCAGCAGCCTTGAAGTGCTACAAACTGAGCATTCATACTGTAGGCAAGACACAGACAGGGAACAACTCTGGCAAAAAATTACGAAGCTGCACTCAAAAATAGCCCTTTTAGAAGTCCAGGAGAGAAAAACCCTAACCAAGCTTAAAGCTCTAGAAACACTTATTACAAAACTGAAGGAAGAAAATCTCCTTTCAGAGGAGAAACTTAAGATGGTAGAAAACTGTTTTACAACATTTGAAGTTACAATGATACAATAAAAGCTTTAAAATAATGGATTGCAACTTGTTCTGCAAATTATTCTCTGGGGTGGGGTTGGGTTTTTTGGGGTTGTTTGCAAGAGAAGGCGATGTGTGTTTATTTATTTATTTATTTATAAGTAGAAATGGAATAAAAACAGGTCTATCACTTTCCTCCCTCTTCTCTGCTCTCAGTATCTTCCCAATTTTTTTTATGGAAGATTGGAAAGAGAGATATCTTGTGGAACTACATGGGAGCTGGCATTGGGGGATATAGGAGGGAAGAGGAAACTAGTAGTACGTACACTATACATACTGCTTATTTGCCAAAAACCTCCATTGAGTCTCAATCACTTCAGAAAATAGAAGGAACCCATTCTAGAATCATAAGGTCCATCAGGCCAAAGCTATAACAAAATCATCCTGGTATATTACAACAGTACAACAGCCTGCCTGCTTGAGAGGGCAAAAAAACCCCACAAACCAATTTTAAAACATGTTTATTCTAAGGTAGAGAGGCAGTTTAGTGTAATGGTTAAGGCATCAGGCTAGAAACTGGGAAACGGTTCTAGATCCACCTTGGGCATGAAGCCAACTGGATGATCTGGGACCAGTCACTTTTTCATAGCCATAGAAACAAGGCATTGGCAAACCAGTTCTGAAAAATCTTGCCAAGAAAACCAGGAATTTATCTCTGAGAATTAGACAGAATTGAACAGAAGAAGAAAAAAATTCTAAGATAAGCCCAAACTATTCTCAAGTAAGTTTATATGGGAATGCAGCATTGAAGTCTATAACTGCAAGTAAATAAAATGTATTAATGAAAGCTTATTCCCACAAGGACCCATACAACTGCAGTGCTTTCACTTTGAGCCATTGCCTTCAAGGTCTACTTCATTTGCCAAGCTAATGTTATTCATGAGTAGTGAAATTCCAAGCATGCATGGTAAATTCCATTGAGGACTGTAGGATTTATTTCTAATTTGCTGCCTTAAAAGTATAGCCCACATCTCCTTAGAATTAATGGAACAATATAGGATAGGATAGGACAGGACAGGACAGGAAAGGATAGAACAGGACAGACAGGATGCACTCTAATAAAGGAGAATATGTGTAGCTCAGGGTTGACATGTGGGCTCTTTGGTGTTCTCTGAGCTTGGTTGTTTTTTTGCAGACATTTCATTACCAAACTAGGTAACATCATCAGTGCTAGTCTGTGCTAGACTAGCTCTGATGAAGTTACCCATTCTGGGTAATGAAACGTCTGCAAGAAAACAACTAAACTCAGCACCTCAGAAAGCACCTCAGGATGAACTCTTTTTCTGGAAATAATTTGGAAAAATGCAATTGCATTAATGTCAGGATTGTGCTCTTGGAGCCAGAAACAGTAATTAAGGGTTTAATTTTCTTCTTGGCAGGAAAAGAGAAACATTTGAAGCAAAGGGAGTTAAGAGCTGCTGCAGGTGGTGATGGCTGAAGGGAGAAAAAACAACATTATAGGAGTAGGGACATAGCTTTACAAAGTAGAGACCTATCCATTCATTCCCTCTAAGAGAAAGGACTGACAATAGTTACTCTAGATAAGAGACTGAAATTGGTCAATCATATTACATCTTTCATTGGGGGGGATGGGTACAGTTTTATTTTCTCTGACTAATTTTGTTTGTAAAAACATTCCACTTTGGTTTCTAGATACTTGGATCCAGTTCTTGTGTTGTTACTTCCCCCCCCCCCAATACCCAATTGAGGATGGCAACGAGCCACCATGTTTCAATGCCCACAAGCAGAAACTGACTAGGCCCAAAACTGGCTGCTGTGCAAAGTTATGGTACTTCTGCATTTGGTCTTTATGTGGTTAGAAAAATCAGTGAAATGGCCCTGAAGGTGTTTGGTAATGCCAACCCAGAAGTGCCAGGAACAATGCAAAAGGCTGGGCACCATCACCCAAAGACTCAAATGGGAGAAGAAGCTACCCGATCCCCTTCAGGAAGCTGTCATGGATTCCACCAACCCCATTCCCTGCGGTTCAGAAATTGGCAGTTTCTTGATTTAGATAACCCCTGTGACTTAGACGAATGTCAGCATTTTATATGATAATTGAAGTTTCACAGGGTTTTGAGGGTGTCCTTAACCAAAGGCTACAAGTAAATACTTACCTGCCAGCTAAGAATGTGGGAGCTTAATAGAATGCCATGAGCAATTATGCCAAAATTATCTAAAGAAACCGAATGTACGAGAAATGGCCAGCAGTTACAGTATTATGTCCATACTGAGAGCTTTACCAGCCTTCATCACTGTTCCCTATTTTATATGGCAATAAATTCTCAGGTTTGCAGCTTAAATATCATTATGGCCACAATACACAATACAAAGGGCATTTGTACTTCCCCTGTTCCTGACACTTCTTTGACTGGGCATATACTACACTGCACTAAACTGTGGCTTGCTTAATCATGGTTTGTTGATACAACAAACCAAGCCAAAATCAAACAAGCTTTTTATTTATAGCTTAATATCTTGCGTGAACCCAAGCACATATGTATGCACTCCTGCCAGGATTGATTAGTAGCACTGCAAGCTTTCTCTTCCTGGTTGGTTGGTTTCATTTGCTGTGAAAATTTCCATAATTAAGGGGAAATTTTGTGTGAAAAATAATTGACTTTTTGAGAGCCTGATGACTGATTAATGAAAGATCTGTATAATCAAATAAAAATTAAAGTGTAAATTCGTTTCAGTGAGTTGACAAATTGAAATATAAATTAGTTTTAGTGAGCTGACAAAAAGTATCCACATCTGTCCATCTCTTATTTATATGCACTTTAAAATATGTTTTGAATGCTTTCTGTATGTAATTATGTCTGTAATTGTATATACTAATTGAACAATGGAATAAAAATGGCTTTATTTATTTATTTTTAAACTTCCCTCATCTTTCTGTCCCCATATAGCAATGATACGCAAGAATAAAAACATTAAGGATAATAGGAAATTAAAAGAATTTAAATCAAAAGGAAAATCAGCAGTTAAATTAATTAACAACGAAAAAATAATTTGATGTTGTGCAAGACTCTTTCAAATAAGCTAGCCCAAGTAAAGCTATCCCAATATTTGTATAAGTGAATAAGGAGCTCTGTAGGGACTAAAATGTACTGCTTTTTTTCCCTAGTCAACAGTTATGTTTTTGTGCCATGCATATTAATTAGTATTGCCCTCAGGCCAACATTTAAGAATAAGGAAAACAAGATAAGCTTGTGACAATAACATTGCATCAGTTCTAAGCAAGAAAACAAGAAAATGTATGTTCTTTAATGAATTAAGAACTGCTATGAGATACTTCATTTGCTCACAAATTTCTTTTGTAATAACTATCTTCACACTCCAGGATATTTTGCTTGGTTCTCTACTCCGACTTATACAGTGCACTATTTTGTTAGTTGTTTTTCAGATTGTCAGGAATTCAAATTGTACAATTTATTACTTTTTCTATTTGTGGGTACAATTTCATTTCTAATTGCTAGCAGATGTTGCCAATTTATATATTTTGATCCATGGCTAAAATCTATTTTAACAGACTTGTTGGAAAGAGGTACAATTAGAAAAGTGAATGCATCACTTCTGAATCTTCTATTTTTTAAAAGAAATATATATTTTTCATTGATTTAGTAATCAATAAGAGACTGCATATCACAACATACTTTATTCGTATCCAGATAATCAACATTGCCTGCTTATTTTGCAAATAGATTTAGCACAATTTATTTAGTTGTTGGATTCATTCAACAGATTTATATGGCTGCCCATCTCAAATACATGACATGATTGCAAAAAGAAGTTAAATGGTGTCATGTTAGGTGTCATGGTTCCGACAGATGAAACTCTTCAAAGAACTTATATAATTCAGATGATAACAGTTAAGGAGAATATTTGTAGTTCAGGGTTGAAATGAGGGGTCCTTGATGCTTTCTGAACTTGCTTGTTTTCTTCAGACGATTCATTACCCTAACTAGGTAACAGTAAGGAGCGCTGTTTGTTATCTGTTTTAATTGGGAGAATGTGACAAATCCAAAAATGCCAGGGAATTTCTAGAAGCCTGACACTCTGACAAATCAGCCATCAGCAGACACATAGACATTAACAACATCTGTAGACTATGCAAAAGAGATAATCAACCAGCCCAAAAGAGAAAAAGACTCCAGCATCTCCCCAACAGTAATCAGCACTCAGATCAGCATAGATTAACTCCAAGGTCACCTTCAGACCAACAATCAAGTAAGCAACACCCCAATCAAGAAACTGCCACAGAGCCATTAGTAAACAGCCCAACCAAAGAATCCCTAAGACCACCACCCACCCACCCAGACAGGCAAGACACCAGAATATAAACAGACAGCAAACAGCACTCCTTACTAACACTGATGCTACCTAGTTAGGGTAATGAAAAGTGCAAGAAAACAAGCAAGCTCAGAGGACACCAAGGACCCCTCAATTCAGATGATATTTCAAAAATCAGCTCAGAGAGATATGTTCCTTCCTTTGTCTTTACCACTAGCTGGTTCCATCCTCCTATATTTTCAAGTTTGAGTTCTACTATCTGGTATTTGTTATTGTTAAAAACAGGAGAACAACATAAACATGATTCTTCCTCCTCCCCCCTCCTCCCTTTTCTTTTTGGAATGGAGCTTCTGGAGTAGAAGCTTATAATATTGACATCCTTGGCATTCCTTCCCCGCCCAACCTCACAGGCACTGTCCAAATGAGCCCCTGACTTTCATAAGGACTTCTGGAGCCTCTGCAGCTCTACCCATCCCCTCATTGATATGAGGAATTGAAATACTTATTTTTTTTCCCTGGTTATCATTCCCTATTTATCTAAAGAATTGCAGTAGATATGAAGGTTAAATACAGTCACACCAATTGATTTAAATTACTAGCAATTGTGCCCTTATTACGACTACATTATAAACCGACAAATAAATGTTACTTCTGATTTATTTGAGCAAATACTTATGTGACAAATGATTCTGTCA